TAATAATTAATACCGATTAATAATGTCCGTTTATAAAATAAATGGTTCGGAAATTAATTATCGATTTTAACTCGGTTAATAATTAACCGAATTGACTTTTCGACTTAACGTCGAACGTATTCGCTGAAAATGAATGGAATTAATAAAGGATAATACATCATTTTCTATTAAAAAGAAGTTGGGTTATTACAGGCGCTCGTCTCATTGACCGTACTAGCGTTCGCCTCCCCGACCCTCCTCTTCTTTGAGGGGGATGACGGGCCATCCCGGTCTCCCTGTGAGTTGGCACCGGTCGCCCTGTGCGTTGGCACCGGTCTCCTCCGAGACCTCCTCACGGGCTCGGCCTTTCTTCTTCTTTTGAGCTTCAGCCTCATGATCGACCGCATCATCCCTGCGAGTCGACACGGGGCCGCGGATTCCAGCTCGGCCGCCCGCTGCTCCACCGCGGCCTTTGTCCCGACCGCGGATGAGGTCGGATACAAGCGCGGTAAGACCCGACTCGACGATCCCCGAGGCCGCTGGTGCCGTGGACGCGGGGGTCGGAGGAACCGTGCTAGACCCGATCGCAGAAGTGGAGCCCAACGCTTTCTTATTCGATTTCATCAGGAAGGACATTCTGCTTGCCATCTTTTTCCTCTCCTTCAGCGAGATGGGATTGGCGCGCGCGTATTTGTTAGCCTCCTGTACAGAACGGTGTCCACACACCTGATGCAGCGGGTAATAAACTGCCTGGCCAAAGACAAATCAAATTATCGAACTCAATCGAAAATGCGAGGAGGGCAATTAGAAATAGTCATACCTGGAGTAAAGTAACCGCACTTGTACTCGGAGCACAAGCCGTGAGTTAGCAAGCTCTCCTCTAACACTAAGTCGCGGTAGAACCTCTCTTCCTCTTCAAGTCCCAGTAGAATGTTGACCTTCTCCGCAAGGTCGTCACTAACATCGACGCGCGGATTGTGGACTGAAACGGAAATACCGACCTGTTAGCACAGAGAAAAACACATAATTAGAACGAATTGCAAAATAAGAAAAAACTTACAAGGGCCCGAGATGAAGCCAGTAAACGGATGTCGGGCCGTCTCTAGTATTTGCCACGTGTCGGAGACCCAGAACCACTTCAGCATGTATCCGTGCAGCGAGTCCGGTACTTTGTAGATGAACGACTTGTCGACCCCGGGGGCAACCGAGCTATAGTAATTACCGGTCTCCACGGACTTCTTGAAGACAGGGAGAGATCTCATGTTGGCACTTGTAGGGTCAGCCCAGCCCTATTTCCGGAACATAACGATCAAACTAATAAGTCGGGCAAAGACAGTGAGCACGAGCTGGCTCATTCCGATGTCGAGGTCGCCTAAGATTTCACTTAAGATGTCGGGCAAGGGAAAATGGAGGCCAAGCTTAATGCTGGGGCGGTAGACCCCAATGTAGCCCTGCGGCGGAGAGTGAATGCGCTCGCCGGCATAAGGAGAAATGGCGTGTACTCCAGGGCTGAAACTCGCTTTACCCCTCAGTTGTGCCAGATTCACGTCACCCAAAATTGATGGCACGTTCCAGGCCGCCATTGTTGACGGGGTCGCTCAATCGCGTGGGGGTCGACGACAACTCTCGGGGGGAGCCGTGGTCGCTGTCTCCACGGCTGCTTCAATTTTGGCATCCTCACGGCCCATAGGGACCCGCTCACGACCTCGGGTGTCCCCTTGAAGGGTTTTCTCGACCAAGTCTAGGTCGACATCCGAGCCGTCGCGAGAAGGAATGGCGCGAGCGTCTGCTTTCTCCCCCTCGCCATCAGAAGGGTTGGAGCCTAGTTGATGATCTCGATAGTAGGGAACTCTGGAGGCATACTCTCACCCAGACCTGCCGATGCCGCCGATGCCGCCGCTGCCGATGTCATCCGGATAGCCGAGATGGGCGTGACCCGAACCGGTTGCGCCGCTTCTGCCGCTGGAGGAGAGTAAACCACCGATTCCCCCATCTCTTCCGCCGCCATTCGTCCTCTATCTCCACCGAAGCGATCCGCCGCAGAAGTAGAAGAACTCGACATATCGAGAGAAGATAGAAAAAAAATAACAAAGGAATTACTGCAAAGAAAATCTTGAGCACCGACTTGAAGAAGACCTCGAGAACCTTGAGAATTGCCTTGCTGATTGCCCTGGAAAACTCTCAGAAAATCGCTCAGAATTTGCAGAACAAGTGAAAAGCTTCCCGAAGAAGACGAAGATACATATATATAAATATATAGAGCAATTGGACCAATCACGACAGGACACGTGGCAACGTTTGAAATTCGAAAATTAATTACAGAAAACTATTCGAATCGAACGGTCGTGATCGAATCGATCCAACAGTCCACAAACGGTCACGTGGATGACACGCAGTCGGGTAACCGCCCTTTTGCTGGAACGATGCAGCGTGCGACGTGGTCAAATCAGATGACGCCATGTGTAAAGGCTCTGACACGGTGTGACTTTTCAGGGCTAACAACCAAAGTAACGACCATATCGCATTAATGGGCCCGTCGTTTTGGGTCATGTCCTCAATACGAATCCGTGAAGAAGAGATCTTTTACCAAGTTGAACAGAAAAGCCGAATACATGAGAGGAGAAGCCGAGGTGAAATCTGGCAAACTTGGATTAATGTGTTGCAATGTCGACCTTAGACGAGACGCCGAAAAGCCCCTCCTCCAAGCTCGGGGGCCTGTATGTTGACATCTGAGTTAGCCCGGAGAGAACTGGACAGGGGCGACCTCCCAGAACCAGGTCGAAAACCTGGTCCAACACAGAAGTGTTGGGCTGAGTTACAAAATTAAGTGATCAAGACCACCATAGGAACAGTTTGCAAGATCGGCACCTGACACCAAGAGACCGAGGTGCCGACCTAACAGGATGCCGGACTGGTAAAGGGATCCTGCGGGCTTGAGAAGCATATTTTGTTGGAGTGCCGATCTAGAGATCCGGAGCAGCCACTTTGGAGGCGAGCGCGGGGCTCAATAACATTAAAATACTCCCACTTGAAAGATCATCATTGGGTGATGGGACGGGCCATCATATCCTGTCACCCTACCAACACCTAGTCCAAGAAAAGCATGTCAGACATTAAATGCCCACCATGTGTGTGTTTAATGTCTGACATTTAATGACTGAAGAAACCTGAAATCGCATTTAATACTATCAGGGAGGTGCCGAACTGCTCTGCAGGAATACTGTGCGACAAGACCGATGAACAGTGCCTGAACAGTAGCATTTAAGGATACTATAAATAGGAACCCACCTCATTTATTTTGGGTTCTTGAATCATCAACTACTCTGCCTTCTCTCTACTTTCTCTCTCTTGAAATCTGTAATAAACTTCTGTAATAATTCCAACTGCATTACAAGCGCCGACCTCGTACGAGAGTGCCGGCCTCGTAATTACGTAATAAAACATAATTAACCCGTATTTTCTCCTTGTTTTCGGTTCTTTACTTAAGTGAGTTCACGAAGGATTATTATGCTAAACCTTGCAGGTGGATTAAATTTCGGCATAGTAATAATGTGATTAACAAGTGCTACCTTCGGTGAAATAAATAATGTATTAATCAATTTTTGATTATTAGTAATCGAATTTATTAATGGACATTATATCTTAAACATGGGGAGGTGATTTGGGTAATTATTATAAGAGTCACTTGTTGATGGACGGATTCGATCAATGGTTAAAATAAAGTCGCAAAAACAAAGCAGACGTCCATTAGTACCTCCAATTACTAAATAATGAAAGAAAAGCCATCCAGTGACAACAGCTTCATTGACCTGGCATTTATGTGTGACAAATGATGAAACAACTTTGTTAGTCAGCACAAAAAGAGCGCTCATGAGCTACGTAGCACATACCAAAAGAAGCAAACAAGTTGTTAAGAAACGAAACTAGTAAACTGACTCCACAGCATCACGTTAAAAAATGTTATATGATGTGTTCCATCAGATTTACTATGTTTAAATTAGAATGAGCATACGCCATAAAACACCTTGCGAGATTTGGCCTTCATAACATCAGAATCTTGTTTATTGAATCCAATCGCAGTTGCGGATAGGCCATTTGTTACCAAATTCACCAAAGCAACTGAACCTGTAATAAAATAAAGATGTGATCCAAGAAATATGAGGAACATTCTCCCACTCAAGACAAGCAATCTTTAACAATATTAAGGCAAAGCATCAAAACTAAATGTAAAACAACAGATTCACTGATTAACATAAATACATTCACTGTTACTATATATAGGTAGGTTACGAATGCTACGACATTTTAACTCACAGGCACAAGTGTGTTGGGAATGCCGAGCAGTGCAGCCACAAAGATGCAAACTACTTCACCAATATTGAAAGAGATCATGTATCTAATGAACTATTTAGTGTTGTTGTAAATAGCCCTTCCCTCAGCAACAGCCTGATCAGAAAATAAGATTGGTGTACAGAAAAGCCATAAATGGTGCCAACCACCACCACCACCAAGAAAAGATGCAAAAGATTGAAAGCGAAACAGAAGGGTAAATCTTACAGCAACTATTGTGGCATAACTATCATCAACCAAAACCATATCTGAAGCACTCTGAATCATCAAAATGTGGATAAAGAAATTAATTCAGCAAGCATTTCATGCACCAATACATTAAATGAAACTCAAAACTAAAATGTCTTGAATCGGCAAGATCGTTCAACACAGTAGATACTTTTAAATGACCTGAAGATTAATTACAAAAGGTTATACCTTTGCCACTGCAGTTCCAGATCCCATGGAAATTCCAATGTTGCTTTCTTCAGAGTAGGTGCTGTTGGGTTTTGTTAGGAATGTCAAACAACATGCACAGTATTGAACTTTATCGAAATAAATCCTAA